CTCAAGGATGACCATTCTCCCTCTCCTCAGAACACATGGACAGGTGTATCCATCTCAGAATGTCCTGGAATCACCCTGTCCCCTGTGGTGTCTGTCCCCAGGAACTGGAGCTGGCTAGGCACTAGGTGGGGGCTTCATGTGACCAGGACCCTCACATCAGAAGCATGTTAATAGGGTGATATATCTCCACCCAAGGCTCTAGGTGTCTTCTGGGGCACGTTCTGACATCTTCAGTGTCATTTAAAGATAACTGCTTTCATAGATTATTACCGTTCCTACTTCATGTATTGTGTGTATTCCTACTTCATGTACTTTATGTATTGTGTATTACCATTGCTACTTCATGTATTGTGTATTACCTGCTGCAGTCATTTGCTAATTTTTCTTTTAGAGGGTTTATTCCTTCCTTTTGTTGATTCTCAAGGGTTCTTTACATACAAAAAAGGATATTTTTCTACTAGCTAGCAATTATATTATAAATATTGTTCTCAGGTTGTCATTAGACTTTTAATTTTGTTTCAGACTTCTGTGAACATACAAATCATACTTTGACACTTCAATTAGTAAGGAGGTATTGTATAACTTTTAAGAAATTAATTTTTTAGACTTTGTCATTAGTTTCTATTTTAGTGAATTTGGTTAAAATATAGACCCAAACCTAATTTCTTTCTTGAGGTATTTATTGAACTTATGCTATGGCCTAGTATATAATCTTTTTGTAAATTCATGAGCATTTGAACAGAAGTTCTGTTTTCTCTTCATATTCATTATCATTTGTCTAGTAAATACATTATTATTTATATTATATACACTCTTGATATTTTTGCTTTTTCATGTTTGATATCTTTGCTCTGGATATCTTTGCTTTTTCCTGATTGGTTAGAGTCTAAGACAAGGCTTAAAGTCTCAAATATTGTTTGGTGTTTTTTTTGTTTTTTCCTTTTAAGTCTCTTGACTCATATTTTTAAAAAAATTTTTATTTTATCAATATACAGTGTAGTTGATTTTCATGTCCCTTAACTGATTCCTCCCTCTCCCTCCCTCTGCCCCCTCCCACCCATCAATGTCATATCTGTTCACTTGTCTTAACAAGTTCAAGGAATCGTGATTGTTGTGACTTCTTCCCCGCCCCCCCACCCTCGTTTGTTGACTTGTATTTTTTTAATTGACCATTTTAGTCTACTGAATGGTTTTATTTTTCTTTTGGTTAAAATCGTACTTCAATGCTTTTACATTATTTTTGCAACAACTGTTTTCTGTTTATTTGCATTTCCTTATTATGTCTTGTTCAGCTTGTTATTTTTAAGATAACTGATTCATGCTGTTTTAGATGCTTATCTTATAGCATACAATTAGACTTCAATAATTTAGACAGTCCAAGAGCTTTTCTCTATTTTAATCCATTTATGTTTATTGTCACAACAAAAATATTTTTCTTGCAATTGTTTATATTATACAGCTTGAATGCCTTCATGCAATTTCTTTTAAATGCATTTACTGTGTATGTTCTATTTTCTTTGAATTTTTCCTCTGGTCTTTGCTTTTGGTTTCCTTTGAATTATTTAAAAATATATAATTAGACATATGATTCTTTATAGAAAGGCCTTCTGTTTTCTTCCCCTTCTGCAAGATGAGGCAGTTATCACACTTTTATTTTTGCAAGCTTTCCCCCAACCTCCTGCACAATTTTGTTTAAGGCCTTCTGAAGGACCGTGCTATCTTAGGAAACTACTTTTTCAGAGTAGTTTGCATGCTGGTGAAGTTACTCTATGTTTGGTGTGACTGTCATCCTGAGACACTTTGCATAATTCCCAGGCAGCCATGTGCTGTTTCATGGTTGACCTTACCACCCAAGGAAGCTGCCTCTTCACAGCCATCACCACCCTCTCCCCTAATTTCTGGTTCACGGGTTACAGCTCTGGGCCCCACTGATAACAGTGACCTTTGAACACACTGACCTGAACAGTGACCTTTGAACACACAGAAAGATTTCACATGGAGGTTTTCTTGTTGGTCTCATCACCCATCATATGTTCTTTACATTCCATCCACAGGCTTGAATAGAAGAGTAGAAGACAGGAGGGAGAGGGTCCATTCTGGAGGTCACAGAGGTGGTAGAGGTGAAAAACAACAGTGGTTTGAACTAGAGCAGTGGCAGTAGTGTCCAACCAGTTCTGACCTACAAAATAGGCAGCTTCTGGGGTTCATACCAATAGCAGAGATGGAAAGATATGGGCAGACTTGAGAAATGTTAATAAGGTAGAATCAAAAAGAAAACAAAGATGAGGAATGAGGCAAAATGAGAAGCCCAGCAGATGCCCAGATCTTCGTCTCAGATGACTGGATGGGTCCTAGTGCCACCCATTGAGTTCCATATTTTAGGAAGGATGGCCCATTGGGCAATGAGGGAGAAGTCTTTTCAGAGAGAAGCTGCTCAGATCTGTTGCATACAGGTTGCATTTGAGGCATTGATGTAATATCTAGGTGGAAATACAGACCTGTGAGCTGGGTAAGTGTGATCGATGTTCAGATGAAAGGTCTAGGTTGGAGAGCTGGGCTTGATTGTTATCAGTGAATTGGCAGCCAGTGAAAGGAGATTATGTGCGATAGAAAGATGAGCAGACAAGACCCACACGTGAAGGGCAGATGGAGAAGGAGGAGTGATGCCAAACCTATGGTAGAATAGTCTTACACATATGAGAAAAACCAGGACAGTGAAGCGTCATCTAAGCCTAAACTGAGTACAGATCCAGAAAGGAAAAAGCTATGAACATTGGCAATTGTAGAAGAATGGCCACATATTAATAATAATTATAGTGAACATTTATTGAGAACATATTATGTGCCACACATTGTTCTAAGTAGTTAATTAGCTCCTTAATCTGAAAAAAATTCCAATGAGGTGGACATTTGCATAATCACAGATGAGGAAACTGAGGCACGGGGTAGTAAGGCACTTGCCTAAGATCACACACTAGTAACTGGAACAGCCAGGACTCGACCCCAGGTGTCCTGATACAGAGCAGTGGACATTTGCATAATCACAGATGAGGAAACTGAGGCACGGGGTAGTAAGGCACTTGCCTACGATCACACACTAGTAACTGGAACAGCCAGGACTCGACCCCAGGTGTCCTGATACAGAGCCCAAGCACCACACCATCTTCCTTCTTAAAGTAAGATAAAGATTGAAAAATATCTGTTGGGGCTGACCCCGTGGCGCACTCGGGAGAGTGCAGCGCTGGGAGCGCAGTAGCACTCCCGCCGCAGGTTTGGATCCTATATAGGGATGGCCGGTGCGCTCACTGGCTGAGCGCGGTGGTCACAAAAAAGACAAAAAAAAACAAAAAAGAAAAAAAAAGGAAAATATCTTTTGGATTTAGTGATTAGGAGATTATTGGTGTCTGCCGTGAGAGCGGTTTTGGGAAGAGGGTTGGAGACAGAATCCAGATTGTAGCAGGTTGAAGTTCTGCAGTGGGAAGTACAGACGTGTTGAGAGTGAGTGAAGACAGAACTATTGAAAATTTTAAATGTGATTGAAACACAACTGGACAGTGCCAGAGAAGAACCTGCTGCTGAAATGTCATTTTTAAAGAATAGGAGAAGCCCAAGCATTTATGTATGTCAGGGTCAAGGATAACAGGGAGGATTCAGAGATACAGTATACAGAGAGAAAACGAAAAACCAAGAAGCTAGAAAAATGCAGCCGGGGTGAGGGTCAAGAGCGCTGGCATTCCTGGCATTCCTTGCAGAGAAGAGATGGTGGTTGGTGTGAATGTAGATTGGTTGGTGGGTAAGAAGTTAGAAGTCAGTCCCTCTCTTGTCCTCTTGCCTCTTGAAGATGTGGTTGTCTGCTGGGATTGGATGGGTGGTGTGGAAAGTATAACATTTCTGTGAGGTATAGGAGTGGAGGGGGCAGATTTGTTATAGGCTTGGCAAAGTTGAAATAAAAGCACAAGGAAGTGGGGCTTTAGGAGAGAATCGTGTGGGTGGTTAGCCAGGGTGGTGGGGTGAACA